AGAAGGGCAGCAGAAGCAGCACTTTTGCCATAGCAGCAGCAGCAGCTGCTGCTGCTGCTGTTGTTGTTGCGTCTTATCTGCACCACGTAGGTGCTCATGAACGCCCCTTCCTGCTGCTGCTGCTGCTGCTGCTGCTGCTGCTGCTGCAGGGAACCTTCTGTTTGGTGAATGACGGGGAGGTAGTTCTGTGGACGATCCCGACGCCTTTGGAGGGCGACCCAGACACTACACTAGGTGCTGCTGCTGCTGCTGCTGCAGTAGTTGCTGCTGCTGTTGCTGTTGTCGCTGCTGTTGGTCTTGATTTTGTCCCTGCAAATGCTGCTTCTGATGCAGAAGGTCTTATTGCTGCTGCTGCTGCTGCAGCACTTGTCGCTTTTGAAGCTGTCCATGGCAGCCTATTCTTCAGCGGGTCAGCCTCAATATGCTGCTGCTGCGTTCGCTGCTGCTGCTGCTGCTGCTGCTGCTGCTTGCAGGAGGTGCAGCAGCGCATTCCCTGTCTCTTTTGGGCGAGCTGACTGTCTCTCCACCCAAGGAGCCCACGCCACCTCAGCAGCAGCAGCAGCAGCAGCAGCCGCAGCAGCAAGCTGCAGCAGGGGATCTTTACAGGGCAGAAGAGCAGCAGCTGCTGCAGCAGGCAGCAGCAGCTGCTGCAGCAGACCTACCCCTGGCGATGCAGCGCTTCGTGCTGCAGCAAACGCGGCTGCGCTACCAGCAGCAGCAGCAGAAGCAGCAGCAGCAGCAGCAGGGCCCATCCACAAAGACAAAAGCGCTCCCAAAGGTTTCAACTACAAGTACAGCAGTTCCCAAACCCCCAACCTTAAACCCTAAACCCTAAACCCTAAACCCTAAGCAGTAGCCCGGCGAGCTGCTTTGCTGCTTGCGACTGTATCTTGAATGTTCAGGCAGCAGCGCTGTCCGCAGCGGCGGCAGCAACAGCGCCATCAAAGGCAGCAGCAGCAGCAGCAGCAGCAGCAGCAGCAAGATGAGCTTTCTGACGGCTCGAGAAAACATGGTTTTAGAAATGGGCACAAACAACTTTGCTGCTGTGCTGCTGCTGCAAGGAAAGGGCCTCAGCGTTGTGGGGGCCTCCATAAACCCTGCAGCAGTGGACGTTTTTGCTGCCGGCCAAACGGGAGACGCCGCTGCTGCTGCTGCTGCTGCGCCTGCTGTTGCTGCTGCTT